TATGATAAAGTCACTTCAATACAAGAGTCCTCGGTAGTATAGTGGTTAGTATCCCCGCCTGTCACGCGGGAGACCGGGGTTCGATTCCCCGCCGGGGAGGATCATTTTTTTGCAATATTTTTTTATATTATAATAATGTAATATTTATTAATTCTTATCTATATTATAATCTATTTAATAAAAAATTTTTAATAAATTATTTTTTTCAGAAGAATTAAATTATTTATTAAATTAAATAATTAAAAGTTTTAGAGTTACATAATTTTTCAAAAAAAATTAATTACTGAAAAAACAATTCTAAATTTAGAAAAAAACTGGTGAAACAGCGATAAAATTGAAAAATTTTATAAATATTTTAAATATTTTAATGCAGATTTTTTTTTATTTTATACAAAATCATACGAAATCGGATTTTATTTTTATCATTAAAATTTTGTAAATGACGAAACTATAAATATAAGGATTTTTATTATTTAAATACATACGTTATACATACATACACAATATACATATATATACAAGTATATATCAGAGTTTATATTTGTTTATATTTGTCAGTGGCGTTGGAGGGTGTCATCGCTGCAGTCCGACCTGCATCCATCGAGAGACTAGGACCATCATTTCTCTGGAGTACTAGTTGTGGGGATTCGAGAGAATATACATGTATATATGTATATTGTGATATATGTATATATGTATATCATTGTATTGTTGACGTGTTCTAAATTCTAAAATACATTATTTGCGATAAACTATCACATTCCTCGGTAATCGAAAGGATAAGATGTCTGCCCGGTAAGCAGGAGATCCAGATTCGATTCCTAGCTGAGGTGGTATTTTTTCGCAAAATAATTAGTTTTCGTGACTTCGAGTTTTCATGACTTCGTAGTCGGGCCTCGTCGTGATGCACACCCTCCTTTCTTATTATAGGGCTAGCCTATAATCATGGGACATTATTCTTATTATCTTCCGTCGCTTTATTTTTGCAGGAGATTACCATTTTATTTCACTTATAGAAAATATAATACGTTATAATAAATAAACTAAAAAATGAATGTGTAAATTGAAATGTTTATAGCAATTATTGTACATAGGAAGATGACAATATACAATTGTTTAAAGATAATAGTTTCTTGCAGAAATAGAGTATAATTTTAGTACATAAAAACATAGTACATAAAAACATAGTTTACATATGCATTAGATTCACATTTATACAATCATAATCATACACAAATAGATTGATTCTTTAATGAAGGAACGATATATTAATAATAAATATAATAATATATAGTATTAACTGTACGTATATAATATATTATAAATATCATTACAACATACATTATGTTCGCAATTGTTCTGCATTTCTTAATAGTAGATAGTATCAGTACATTCTATAATTATATATTAACATTTTGAGGAACGTGATTTTTCAAGCAAAAAAATCTTATTCATATAAATTTAAGAAAAGGAAGAAATATTTATTATTTATACTAGACATATTTCCAGTTTCTTTTGCAGCAAATATCTATTAATTACGTAATACAAAAGCAAAAGCATATAATAAATAGTTATAAAATATACATGATAAATATAAGTATCAGGTAATTATCAAAGCTTGATTTAGTTTCATTATTGTGCTATGAGACGATCGTAAAAGTTGCAGAAAAATCAGTATGCGATATTAAATAAATAAAATTACTAATTTATTAATCTCTATCTTTTGATTTTTCGTTGATGCTTAAATGTAAATATGTTAATTTGATGAATATAGATTAATTCAATTATTATTAAGTCAATCAAAACTTTATCGTAATTTTATCTTCATAAAACAATTTTGCAGTTTAGTCTGCGCAACATGAAATGAAATTAATACATTTCATTTCATTTACTGTTTTCCTTTTTTATAGCTGCGGCGAGACAACAAGCAAGAATGATACCAGCAATCTGAAGAAGAAGAAAATACATTTTCAAAATTTCAAAAAATATCACTAATACACACATAATTAAAAGAAACTTAAATACAATTTATATTTTTACTATAAACTTTTACGATAAAGAGTTGTACAATTTTTAAAAACTTCTTTTTGTATTTATTTTTTTTATTAACTCTCTTACTAATTCTATTTTTTATTAACTTTCTTATTAACTCTTTTTATTAACTCTCTTATTTAAGAACTATTTAGTTTTATCACAATAAAATGAAATAAAGTATCGATATGATACCGTGTTGGCATATCTAAAATATATATCTTGTAAACTAAATTCTACTCACCTCCACAAATGCTATTCCAATGCCCACACCAATCAAGATCGTAGCGTTATTCTCGACTCGCATTTCCAATTTGCTAAAGCATCCTTCCTTGTATGCTGTATTATAGCTACATATCATTTGCATATTTTCATTGCAACAAGATTCAGGAAATTTCTTTGCTGAATTATTCCAATCTATGGGACCATCTATGCCGCAACATTGCAACTGTCATGTATAAGATCAACATATTAATCAAATTTAATTTAAGAATATTAACTTAAACAACTTAATTCTTAATTAAAATAATTTGACAACTAATATTTTTCTTTTGTCATTTTGCTTAGGCATGATAAAAATATTACATTGCACAATTTAATTATATGATATATAGTTAATTACAGAATTTATATTTATTATATTTTGTTATATTATATACAACAACGTAATTTAAACTATAGAATAACTGTGTTAATATGACTGTGTTAATATAGCCAAAATTAGAATAGTTAATGCACTCGCAATACAACAAAACAATTTTAATTGTTCGCCAGCTGTTTGCACGCGATGATCATTTTATATGGCCTAACCCACAAACTATTGTTTTCTTCATGGCACGGAAGCTATTCCGATTTCATTACTTTCGTATTGACAAATCCATTAGCATGTTGTGCTCCAGATTCAGTATACTGACCTTCTTCTGCACTTTATCCCATGCTTGTCTATCGACATCCGTATAATTCTTCATCGATTCTTTCAGGCTTTCCTTCATTACCGAGCTGAAATCATTTTTAAACGCCGCTGCCGCTATGCCCACCGCGAGCTCGATCACGAAGATTATTAACAGCGCGGCCGCAAACTAAATTATTTTTAATATTAACAAAAAAATTAAATACATCTGGAACTTAAATTTTTATTGCTTTCCATCGCAAACAAATTATATTTAAAAACAGTATATGAGGATGTGATATAAAACCGTATAATATATGTTTCATTCAATATATGTTTTGTGTATCTAAGTATATTTATATTATTTCTCCAAAATTTTATTTTATAAATTCAGATACATAAAATAATAAACTATCTATTATTAAAATTAATGTTGGAATTCTAAAATGCATGTTACAGGAAATAAATTTTAATAGGTGATTTACAACTCTATAAAGAATTATTCATTGTTTTGATTATATATTTTTTCTTATTATTTTGGTAATTATTCAGTGCAAATAAAATTATCTTTTCTCCGAACTATATAATTTTTTCATTAATTTGTTAACTTACCGCGATCAATATGCTGTAATGCTCCTTAATTGCCCCGTAACACCCTAAGAAAGCTATGATGAAAACGATAGATCCCGCAACTATAAGCACTATAGGCGGTGCCATTATCCTGCCTTCCACGAAATGATTGAATTCGCCGACATCTGCTAATACTAACGCACCAGCCGCAATAATACCTATGCCAGATATCTGGAAAAATCAATTTTAGCAATTGTGCGTTAGCAATTTTTCTTTGTCTTTGAAATTCTCCTTCACACTATTTTGATTTTTCCAAGACAGTAAAAATAAAATTAAACGCATAGAAATTTCTATACATATATCTGTAAAAGCACATCTTTTAATTTTTATGAAATTCATTTTTTCTTTTTCAATTAATTAATTAATTGAAAAAGAAAGATTAACATAAAATAAAATGTAATATAAAAAGAAACTGAATTATTGTCCAAAAAACATGTATTCAGACTGAATATTTTTACGTTGCCATTTTAGATGCCGAAAAGTACTTCGAACGGTCTCAGAAAAATCAATAAAAACCGGGTACGTTCCCATAAAACCTCGAGAAAATTTTAGAATATAAAGGTTCGAACGAAAACATTTTTAATTTGAATTGCTTTGAAAATGCACTTGCCATTTGCAGATTATCGTCAAAAAAGATGTTTTTACTATCAATTTGTTCTACTCACCGCAAAGATTAAGTTGAAGATGAAGAGAATATACTTGATGACATTCATTCCACAGGACTCCATGATGCTTCTCAGTATCTGTCTGTTGTAAAAACTGACTTTATTATTTCCCGATTTTTATTATTCCGAATCAATTTCACGACACAAGTTCACGGGGATTTAAAAGGCCACTCGCATAGTCGATCGGCTTGCGTTCCGTGCGGCGGCCGTACGGTCAATGGGAGCGATCTAGGTAGTGCCCCTTCGTCCGAGTCTAAGTGACGAAGGATTTCGATCGAAATCCTCGGCCTCGAGGCTGTCGGCACGGAACAAGCAGGCAGAAACACAGTCTCCAGATCGATGCATGGTCTCCAGGTTTCGGCATTAGCTGCCTATTATTGGTCAAAGCGAAGTCATATATTATGTAGATAGTCGATGGTAACCATGGTCATTGTCTGCTTCTCACCGTTGATTCACTGTCGATAAACTTCTGAGTTGTTCGAGGAAAAGATATAAAAAGAGAAATTGATATTTACAAACGTGCTCATAAAAGCACTATCCGTAGGGGTAAAGCCCGTTTTGAGTTCGGTGTCCTTTGACCTAGCCTGGGCCATCGATCCAGAAGCCGACTGAACGCTTCCGTGACAACGTCTCACGCTCGAAATCGGCCGCGATTCAGAAAATTAATTTGCGAAAAGATTTCTTCGGACTTGACTTTATAATAATCGGTAACGATCAACTTTGACGAAACGTTGACCCTGTTAATGTTCCATATTTATGTCTATTATTTATGTCTATTATGTCATATTATGTCTAAATTGAGTAAATATTATTAATTTTTTTAATACAATTTTTTAGATGATAAACTAAAAGTCATCTTTTGAAATTTTAGATCAAATTTTAGATCGAGGATATCAGCCAGATTAAAAAATAGTACTTTAAGAAGTGGTAATTTAATCTCCTATTATACTACGCAATAATTAATTTAAGATTATTTTTACGCTTTTGAAAAACATTTAATATTAATATTGTTTGTAAGACTTATAACAAAGAAACGCAGAAGTGACTTCTCTTAGAAGTGACTCTTTTCAATTTTGATGAGTTTTCAATGTTATATTTTAGACGCGTATGGGCATGTATTTTTTTATCTTTTTCACCTTTTGAAAGGCAATTTCAATAATATATGATAAAGTTATATTAAAGTTAGAATATCATTTTTAAGAAATAATAAAACTTTTTTACATATTATCCATGCCTATAGAACATGTATAAAAAAAGTATTTCTTATTTTGGTTTAAAATATAAATGTTTCCATGCGCTTCTGTTTTAATAAATAATTTATACTATTTATTTTATAATCTCTTTCGTATTTTATTTAATTATAATTTTGATAAGATTACTTTTGTACGACCAACGATACTGCGTGCTGTTTCACTAATTTACGGAACAAAAACTGAAACGTTGTTCCAGTGGACACGCCAATTATCTAACTCCAAATACATTACATCACGCTGCATTGCGGGCGAAATGTTCCCGATGGATAAACACAATCCGCCACAATTTTATCAAGGATCAGACAAATCGTGTGTGAGCATCGCATTAAATGATTACCCTCTCGCAGTTCAATAATGTCACATTATTTACATATGCTCAGTTGTGTATGGCCAAAGTAGGTCACAGGCGACTTTATGAGTTTTCATTTTCATAATTCGATTCGTTCGATAAACATAATACATTTCTTTGGTATCAGAATTTCTAAAAAAATTCTAATGGTCTATTCCTCGCATGCAGTTTGGGATTCGCGTAAACTCACTATTTCGTGCCGTGCACGTATATATAAGTTAATGAGAACATGATAAATATAGTTATCGCGGTTATTCTTCAGAGAGCTGTACTATCTATAGTAGTACTAGCTGTAGTATCTATACGTAATGGTACATGCATAATGGTAACACGCTACAATTTAAAGTTCACGACTAATATCTTTTCTAGTTTACTCGAATACGTAATATTCGCTTGGTATTCACATAGTGAAATTGATAAAAAGTATATTAAGATTAGAAGAAAGTATATTAAGATTAATACTAATAAATATTAGCTTAATAATTTATTAATAACAAATAATTTTACAATTTAACTTGAGGCAGATTGTGATGAAAAGATAATACAATAACTTTTACATCAACCAAGAATTTTATTTTACAATAACAAACATACTCTTCATTATTCATTAAACATTCACAGAAAAGAGCTATCAGACGAAAGATGTATACAAAAAAATTGTGATTTAACGTGTTTACTTATTAAAAATTGAAAACGATAATACAATTATCTAGCTTAAATTTATCCTGCAAAAAAGTGCATGTTACAAATATAAAGAAATCAGCATCATTCTATTATATATTATATATTCTATTAAGCATACAACTGATTATTTAACTGTCCTATAACATTTATATTAATCAATTATATTGAAAAGTTTTTATTTAATTAATTAAGTAGATTATTGCGAATTGCAATATAATTCACAGTACATTTGACACAGACATAGACACGTTTTGAATAAGACATTTTTCGCTTAGACTTAGAGGGAATTAAGTATTTCTAAATGTTATTAATATTGCACATTAAATTATATATATGAAATCTTCGTTGTCCATTTATATCAATTAAATTAAACGATTGAGAAACTAATTTGTCGATGTATTAATCTGAGCAGACAGGTACATGGTAATTGTAATTAAAATCAAACTGTTCGTCGGTTTATCGCAATTAGATTTATAGTAACTGACCGATGATTTGTAAGACATGTTTACGTTAAAATTATGATTGCTAATATTATACTACATAGCGCGACATAGCATTGATTAGAATATTTATTCCTGTCGACAGTTGAAATTGTTGATGAACAATCGATGGTCGCAGCTCTCGCTGCTCGTCAGCTTGAGATGCAAATGCAAATGTTTTATCTATCTTTGAACAAGATGCGAAATTACTTGGAACTCCCGCGAGATCGTTAGAATTTGAGGTGTTGATAAGCGACGACGAGGAAGAATATCACGAAGGTCGATACGCTCGGCATAACCAACGAGCCAGAATTCCAACCTTCTATTGGCGACCTAAAAGCAATAATATTGAAGAAATCAATAATTGTATTCTCAATTGAATTGCGCAATATCAGGCAGTTACTAAATATTGTAAATAATGTAAATAACCGATATTATTATCGGTATTTTTGAAAATCGAAAAATTCATAAAATAATAATTTTGCGCAACAAGCTGCATCGACTACCGCAAGTCTAATTACAAGGTGCAAAATATATTAATACGCGTTGAAACTCGAGATATGTATCTGCATTTAAATGAAAAGCACTCTATCTTTCAACGCATCCTAAATCTGAATTGCAAATTATAAATGAATCATATTGCGACTGTGTTACGATCAAGCAAACTTGCAAATATTGCAAGCGTTCTTCAAAGTATTAATATTTATTGATATTATTCAAACAACATATTGGCGACAAGACACAAAAAAAAACAAAAGCATAAAAAACATTAAAAACGTCGGTGCGAATAAAGCTGTGCTGAACGACGTAATGCACAAAATTTATACAAAGAATTTTATTAAAAAGGCTTATGTTGTTTAGTATTTTAAAAATTTTATAGTGATTCTTTTATCACATTAAAAATATATTAACTGTTACTATGTTAATGTAAGATACAAATATTTATGATATTTATGATATTTATTTATACAATATATCTTTTCTGAATAATTGTTCTGGAAAATAATGATATTAACTTTCTGAACTTTATTTGTATTTCGCAGAGAAAACTCGTAAATTATTAAAGTATTATCACTGCGCCACTTTGTTAGCGTGAAAACATAATGAGAAAAAGGCAGATTAACTGGCTTCTCTTAACTATGTACATAACAAAGTATATAATGCGCGCGTATCGTTTACATCTCTACGTGCGTGATCACGAAATAATTTATAGAGGAAAATTTTCATTGCGCTTATAGTATACATATACGTTTTTTTTTGAATGTTATTTATATTTTCCTTACGGTAACATTCACAAAAAAGCAATCGGACAAAATAAATGTAAGACAGAGAAAGGATATATTGGGAAAACACAGAGGAACAAAACACTGCTAAAATGTCATCAACGATTCTCATACAAAAGATAGACACGCTAAAATCAAGTCAGAGGGAAAATTACATTCACATCGCGCACATGTCGTACCTATTAATTCTACGTCTATTGCGCAGTTTATTACAAAACTCTCTCTTACAAATCACATAAAATATATATACGACATAACATCTTATAGGAGTCGTAAGAACGTAACATTTCAACAATATTGAGTCAATTCTAATTCGAGTTTCTAATCAGATCTACGGGGTGATAGGTATCGATCCTTTTTTTTTCTCCTCCTCCGTCGACCGTTGACATTTCCCTTCGGAGTATCTCAGATTTTTCTGTAAGGTGCAAAATACAATGAGGTGCGAGTATTTTACTTTTGATGATTCTCGTGAAAATGTACGAAGATGTATTAATATTATACAAATAATATTAATGTATAATATTATAAGTATAGTAATGTAACAATGTAACATAAATATTGCTCACATTAAATACAATAATATTAATATTATAAGATACAAACAATGTGAGTGACACTACAGATGATGACATTAGAAAAGCGTTTACTATGTTAATATATTATATTTCAAATATATATATTTCATTCTTTCCTATAATTTTTTTATCCAACATCTATTGTGCTTATACAACAAAATTGAAACGTACAGACATTTAATAACAAAGCAATAAATAAATTAAAACAAGAAATCTTCATTCCATATCTTTTCGCCGACGATCTGAAAATTATTGCATTATAAATAATAGATGCTATGTAAAAAAAAATATAAATTTCATGTCCTGTAAAAAAAAACACGTGAGATCCAGAAAATCACAGGAAATTAGATAGCTAAAGGCACAAATGAGAGACATATATATTCGTGAAGTGATAACCTACTCGATACCGATGACACCACAAGCCCAACGATCGCCGGCATTTCCGGTTGTCAAGGAGAGAGAGCTATTGCCCTTGCCAAGATCGTCTTCGCCAGAGTGAACAACTATGGACCTTCCCAGGATACTGTTCGATCCGCTCAGCGAGATTATATTGTCAGTGATATTTATAATCGCTTCTCCCGCAGAATTAGCTTGGATATTTCCCAGATCACCAACATGTCTGACAGTGTCTTCCGGTGCGCCATGAGTAACCTGATGAGTTAATACCATATACAGATCTCTCAAAAACGTATTAAAAAAAAAAATAATATTAAGTATATAACCAGTAGCTATTAGCCACAATGAAAAATATATTATTATCTTTAATAAAAGTAAAAAGCTAGATAAATATTCAGAATTTTAACGATAATAACGAGAAATAAAATTTTTATATAAAAAAAAAGATATAGCAATTAATTATGATAATTATAACAATTGAAAAAAGATTGTAGAAGCTCACGTTCTCAGGATTGAAATGTCCTCCCGCAGATATGCAACCCATACTCAGATCTCCTTTCTCGTGCACATGGAAACCATGAAGACCCTCTGTAAGTCCTTGAATCTTACCGGTAATGGTGACAGGTCCATTCGGAACAGATTGAACGATTTTTAAGTTACCCGTAATATTTTTTTCGGAAAACGGCGTTAGACGAACAACCGCCACCATCTCCTAATCGAACAAATTTGATACGATCAGTATAATTACTAAAGATAATAGTAGTGTCGAAAAATATCAGAAAGCTCTATCTAATTGAGGCAAAGTTTTCCTCAAGGGAAAAATAATTTAATGTCACCTTCCTACATAAGTTCTAAATTTTTAATGTCAACTATTCCCAAAATCCCAAAAATCGAGTAATCGAGTAAATTATTAAAGAAAAGAAACAAAAAATATTCTTATTTGTTTTTTTTTGTTTTTTTGTTTTTTTTTTTATTAAAATTAATTGTAGTCGTTAAAGTCTTTAATATATAGACTAATTTTACATTGATTAAGAGATTTATAAATGACATTTCTGATTTCAAAGCGTATTACATATCTCTGGTTTATTCACTATATTACAATCTCTATACACGATGTCACATAATGATTCTTGTTCAATTAGGAACCACGTCATATTACTAATTACAATCGACGCTCGTCACGGTAATAATTCATCATATATTATAATGCAATGAAAACTCGATTGATGGTTTATTTATTATAGAAATGAATTAATGCGTGTAATATTCAGATTGTTACACGTACCTCGGCTGTAACAGCAGTTACAGCTGCCAATAGTAATACAATCATTCGATTCATCATGCGTGAAGGCTGTAAATAGAATAACAGAAAAATGATAATAATGCATATAATATCTTCTCTTTACATTTTATCTAAATTTTATATAAATACAATTCTAAATTCTTGATAAAAAAAGTATAGATAAAAAAGTATAGACTCATATAATTTTTCAAAAACTGTATTCAACTAGTCAAATAATTAATTATAAAATATCCATCCTAAAAAAAGATTTTTAATTACGGATCTCGATCCGTAATTAGATTTTGTAATTTTTATATCTTATGTCCATATGTGTATTTTAATCGATCTAGAAACCGGTCAAACAAACTTATTAATGTTAACCAACAACGAGCTTGCATGTAAAGGACTAATCGATATAATCGTATGACGCAGTTTTTGAAGCGCGGCCGTCGCACGATTCAAGAAAACAGGCTACTTACGTAATTCTTATGAAAGGTGATATGTGACTAAAAAAAAGAATAGGCTAGGTGAAGCTGAAGTCACTTCATATTATTGAGTAATATTACGATTAGTTATCTTAAATTAGAGAATTATTTATTTTCTTCTGTTACGTGCTTACATCTACCTGTACAATTTCTTATTATTAGTCTAAGCTATTAGATGACCTTGATGATATGCATGAACTACGCTCTAACGTAGATACGTGAGTTTCTTGATTATAACTAATTAAGAAGATTATGTAATTTTATACGAAACAGTAATCATGAATGATATATCGATGCCAAAATTTAAATATAGCTTCATGAAATATCTTAAATTTGCATTAATTCCTGTGAAGTTATTAATAATAGTGTAGTTTTATGTAAAATGTATTAAGAATATAATGTAATCCTGCTGAGAACCTTATTTAAAACAGTTATTAATTACAATAAAATTTATTTTTTTATGAGTCATGTAATCATGTAAAAAAAAATACAAAATTGATAGCATCATAAATTTATATACAGCTATATATAAAGTGACATTATCGCGTGGTTGACGCAGGAAGAGTCATCGTTTATTCCAGGTTCTTATCTATATCCATAATTAATTCCAATATAACTTTTCTCCCTGTTTATTACCTCGTTGCTAGAGAATATTTATATTACAATTTCTTGTCAATGTCTCTACATTTTTTTGATAATCTTTGCCACAGAAAATTATCTATATATTTTTACATTGAATTTCATCACAAGCAAAAACCCCACTTCGCTTTTCAAGGAAAATACAATTTTCCTTGTTAGTACATTACAAAACTCCAGACGTTTCAAGACGTTACTGATTTTTGCATGTTTCTTTTTATCGAGTCTTTATAGAATACGAAAGTAAGTTTATTGGAGATTTTCTTATCAATCTCGATATGATTGGCGTCAATAAGAATGTTCTCATCGCCAACATTTCACTCGCACTTTATGAAAGACAGATCGTACTTCCATCGTACTCTCTTATATACTTCACTGTCCCCATCACTTTAGTCCGATCCGACAAGTGTACATTGATTGGGAAGGCTATCAATATTATTAGCAACGTAATGCTAGTACTTTTCCTCTTTCTGCGAATATCTCATAGAATAAAACAGGTTTCCGAGCAAGTCGCGAGACGTGGCTTTTTTTGTGCCATCTTTCCAAAATTAATTATGACCTCCATAAAAAATATTTATCGATGTATATATTACTGCTGAAATTATTCTAATTTGTCGCTTTGCGGAATGCGCGCCGGTTTGCGGTACAAGAAGTATCAGCCCAGTCCGGTACAAGTGCAAACCGCGAGTCAATTCAGTGCAACATTCAGTCATACATGTCGCGGAATTTTTTCATGAGGGACCAGATAGGGGTGAATAAAAGCACCGTGCAAGCACGGAGGACGCCGTGAGGAGCTTCCAGGGAAATATCGATCCACGGAAAAAGGTGTTCATCCACAACACCTGCGCGACTTCATCGATCAGCGTTATTCATGCGTTTTAACATAAGCACCGCGCGAATGGATGGCGCATTTCGCGGACACCAAGCAGGTAGATATACACGGCAATGTGTTTCTATTTCCATCACGAGACCGGCTTTACGTATCTCGCATACACACATGTATATTCCAACACTGTATACTTCATTCCTTACAATGTGTTAGGGTAATCAAAAGTTATATCGAACGTCTTGTTACGTTGCCGTATTTTCCAGAGTAATATTATAAGTTGAAAAGGCTTTACAGTGCAATTTCAAGACTTAAATAGTGTAAACTTTTTAAACAGAAGCTTAAACTTCAAATTTAAAAAGTATAGAAAACTTGAGAATAATTTTTGGGAATTTGAAAAAATAAAATTCATTTTTACATATTATAATTTTTATATTATTAATAAAAGAAGAAAATAAAAATACCAATTTGCAAAAGATGTAAAAAATTTTACGAAAGTTATTGTTCTTTTATTTTTAATTAATCACAAAACTTTAAGAAAAAATATTACGACCGTAATTGAAAAGCAATTAAAAATTTAATTTGAATAATTACTATCTCTCACACTTAAACTCTAATAATCACGCAATTGATCATGTAATTATTGAATTTAATATTAGTGTATCTACATCGCATAAATATCAATGTTATGAATTAAAGTGTCATGCTTACAAACTATTTTTGTCAGATATACGAGCTGGCTTTACAATATAATTTTACATTTCCGAGAATAATATATTTAGTAATTTGATCAGCAAAGGATTACAGCAAACCTCGCGATAGAATCATTATTTCCAAAAGAATCAATATTGATTATTTAGTGCCCATATTTCACGCTCAGGTGTACCTAAATAAAACTATCGATCCGCATTATTGGTATTACAATAATAATTACAATCCAAGCTGCGTCTTTAATAATTAATCGTTCACCTTAATTCAAATTTTCGGATTTTTGCAAATTTAAAGCAAATCAAGAATAAAAAACGAACATCGGGCCAAGCTGAGTGATTCAGTTGCATGCGTATAGTATATTATGAAAGTATATTATAAAAACTCACGAGGTCAATCGCGAGATAAACTCAAATGCGATACAAACCGATAAAAATCGCAATTTGTCATGAGACTGAAAAAATATTATGTGATTTGTCTTGCATTCGCATAGTAAATGCGCAATGATATGATATTTGTCGTGGGCGCGACATGGAATTTCGAGATTTTATACGCGGCGGTCGGTTGCCGATTGGCAAAAGAGGAGCATGCACACATGAAAAGTGAAAGGAACCTACCGGTCGAAGCACGAGTACGATTTTACCGAACACTGAATGACTGACTGACTGACTGCGGATGCTGGGCTCATGTTCCGCTTATATCGGTACGGTACCCCCATACGATCTCCCACCCACAAGGCAGACAAATCAGTCATGAACAAGTATCTCGTAAGTGATCATGCACCGACGACATCGGCGACCGGATGACCGTCGAAGATAGCGGAAGATTCTGGACTCTTCACCGGGCACCGCTCCGGCTCCTTTCGCACGATTTATGTCCATTTCTACCAATGTAGATTAACTTTAATCTCAGCTAGTCAGTTTAATTTTTTAACTTTTTATCGTTGTAAGAATTAAAAGAAGATTAAGATTAAAATTAATACACATTAGTAGAAATATTGATCAATGAAATCTGACTTATATTTAAGAATATATGAAACTTCAATTTCAGATAGGGAAATGAAATTATTAAAAACTCATAAAATAAAAAGTGACAGATGATTATAAGAATAAATTGATATTGTTGTTTTGGATTAACTGACGATGACTTGATATGGATTGAAATATGTCGTGAAACATTGATCAAAATGTATAAATAATCTTTCAGCTGCGTATTTTACTGTAAAAAGGTAAAAGATAAAAACTTCATACAGTGACTATATCAGTTAATGATCGTGCAAATCCACGACGTAGATTCGGATGTATTTATTGACTCTTGGGTGTTAACAGCTTAGTTTTGATTAGAGCTGACTATTACAAGGAAGCTAGCAACGCATTGCACGACACAACATACGTGCCATTTAGATTAATAGGATAATAGTTAGAAGGATGTTAGATATTCACGAACGGAGCTCTCGGATTCGTTCAAGTAACTAGCTGTAGTAAGTATGTCATCGACGAACGTACATGAAACTAGTCGTCGTCAGGACGAATTTAGCATTATTAGCGATACATTAACACTCGTGAAAAAATCGTCGAACTTTAAACCAGCCATAAGACCGAGCTATGGAGACTTGATAATAAATGGATGTTCTATTCATTATATGAGGTAAATATTATCTACATGAATTGTTCATAATGTTTCAAAATTGTAGATTTTATTTTTATTTTAATATTTTTATATATATCGAAGTAGCAATAATTTTCCATTATCTTAATAATCTTTTAAATATCAAAAATTTATGCATTTTTGTTTTTTTTATGCAAAAATAAATAAAGAAGAAAAAATATTATACTGTATTTTCTGAGATGTAGCTATAATATTTGTAATATTTTACTAAATTAAAATGTAATAATTTCACAATTGCTGAGACGAACATGCCGAAATTTTATGCAAACGTATAAAAAAAAATTGCACAATTTTTATTTAAATAATTTTAACAATAATTTTAGTAATAATAATTCTATAATTACTAATATTTTTAAAGCTCTTTTTGCGTTTAACTTTTTTGTTCTTTTTGCTCTTTTTGACGTTTAACTGCTCGTTAACGTATTTAAAATTTTTCTTATCTTACTGTTTGAATAGGGCTAACTAATAATGCGAGTATGATTCATCGTGTGACAGTTACTTGTTCCACTTTATGTAATTAAAAAGTAAAATAGTAAAAATGCGTAATAAAATTCCTCCAGCCACAGTCATGTTATCATTGATATGAAAGGAAATTTGAGGTGAACTCAAAGCCAACACGTAAGCAAAGAACAGCGTTTGTTATCACGTAATTATCATGCTGAAAATTACCCTGTGACAACATTCACATGTTATTCTCAGAGATAATTCGCTATTGCGATTTTCTACTTCTTTGATGAAAATCTATTATAACTAACACTACTTTTTGCAATATCTTCGTCGTTGCGGTTAAATCATGAGATGATTATAATTTAATCTTGATTACCGTTTGATTATGCTTCTTTTTAAAATTGTGGTTTTACATTTATTCTATTCTATCTAGAAATTGTGTTTTGCGTTTTGCGAATTTTTTAAGTCAGATAAAAATTTAAACATAAAATATTTTACTTCATACAATGTTTTAACATATTTCTCATATTTTTTGCTACTTTCTGGAAATTTATATCTTATTTATATTTTATTTATATTTTTAAAAATAATCAACACTTTGAAATAAAAAAGTATAACAGAGATGTCTAAAAAATTTGAATGACAATTTTTCAGTTCCTCAATGTGTCATCTATATGTCAAAAGTGATTTTATCATAATGTTTAAAAGTTATTTATAAAATATAAATTGCCAGATTTCTTGCAACTGCTAGATTTTTAAATCATTTTTTAAGAAGAATATTTTCTTCTCGAGCATTTTCGAAAACAGATCGACTGATCGAAAAGAGCAACATATATCATGATTTTGATGAGCTTCGATTTTTATTATCGCCTCTGCAAAAATCCGCACGATTGAGGTGTATTTTTAAATGAATCGAACAAGATTGATGGACGTTTATGGTGTATCCAGACAAAGTGGGGATAATTGTGCTTCGGATTGAAGTCTCCTTTGTGTGCCTGGATTCTCTTTATAAAGGAAACCGGATATTGCATTTGCAGAGCTCTGATTGGCAGTCTAGCTACGCAGTAACGTTTCGCACAATTGGAACTTTGTAATTATTGTTTCCGGTTGAATGTGTATATGGACAGAAAATTTAATTACTGATGCTTCTGTGACATAAAAATCGGAAAATGTCGCTCGTTCTGTCTAGATTTCTTATTAAAACCGAATTGCATAAAATGAAAAATATCGGCGATTCATTCATGCATAGAAATTATCGTTTTAATTGTAAAAATGTGTATACGCAAAAAATATAATTAAAAAAATATTAGAAAGTATTTTTTGAGAATGATTTTATATTCAGAGAATATTTTGTTTGTTCTTTATTTATTGATTTTTATTTGCCAGAGAAAGGTACTTATTATTAAAATTTCAAAATTTATTAATTTTAATTATTATTTTCTTTAATACTTTGCATTCAATATTAATTTCCATTAGTATCGATTAAAATTCCTTAATCATTTTTAAATTAAGTTAATAACACTTTAGAATTAATTAATAAATTTGATTATTATATATTAATATTTTCATGGTATAATTATTATATTTAAGAACTTTTGTTCAGTGTAAATTACATGTCTTGTAAGAAACATTCAAAGAGATTGCTTCGATATTCGCAATTACAGGTAACTTATGCTTGATGTAATATAATGTCTGCAAAATTGATCAGAAATTGCGTGCGCGTATTCATCGTTGAATGCAATCGTTTATTTAACAATTACAATCAGTTTGATCTCAGAAATTGCGTAGCGCGAGTGCAAAGATATTCACTTCGGCCGACGTGATACGTCACAAAATGAAAAGATAAGTGACTTCGACGTCGAATGTTAATGTGGCTGTCGCTCACAGGAACGACGCTAGACACGTTGCAGATCAAAAAATAAAAAGAAAACGGGAAGCCCACTCGATGTGAAGATTATGATACGATTTTTATTCCGCGATATACAGATGATGAATGAAATCTTTTGCCGCGGGATTTTTGACATCTCGTTTAACGGTCGTAACAGAATCTCTCAACAATTATACTTTTATTCTTTAAATTCTTTAGATCGTAAAAATATACAAGCAAAAATGTGTTTAAAATATTTTAAAAAAGAAGATGAAACAAAATTTTTTATATTTAGTGTGTAGATAATACAAACGATTTGTTATCCATAAATCGTTATTTAAATCATCAGAGTTTTTAAATTATTAAAAATGCAAATAAAAACTTTTAATAATGCTGCATTTATATTGTTATAGAATAAAAAAATGATCACAAATCACTGCAAAGTATTTCTAGAAAAAATCGTTTTATACGTTTTGAAAAATATTAAATCGAGCACACGTAATCTTTTATTAAAACGCACGAAGCCTCTTTTTATCATTGGAACGATCGTGTTACAGTGTAACGCATAGTTCACAATGCCACTGAACAATGAATGTTTCACATAATAAATAAGTTACTAAGATAATCGCTGCACCTTTGTACATGTGCTTGATATTGTGTTTTCCTCAGTGTAAGGCTTACTTCTCGTAAATCCAACGTATATTCATAGTACATAAAACTGATAATTGAATAAAATACTGATAATTGAATAAAATACTAATAAATAAATATGAACATATTAAAAGATACGATTTGTCAACATGTAATAAAAATACTACGATGACTTCATGTGAATAATTTAATACACATTAAAATATTATTTAAATAAAACAATTTAATTTATACATAGCGAAATATCAATTAATAAATAAAAATATAGATATTTATTATTCAC